GCTGCTACGCTACACCTTGAGCCTAGAACGGCAAGCAACGGACACATTCCCCTTTCCGCGTTGCCCAACTGCCGCCACGGTTCGGAAATTTCAGAGATGTGCACGAGGCCACGTACTGCCTGAGGATAATGTCAGAAAAAATCTCCAGATTGGGGGGGGGGGGTGGTTGCCGCTGTCGGCGCCTGCTTCATGACCTGCAGCTCGACGAAGGCACCGAAAGGCACCAGCTCCTCGGAGCAGAAGAGTCGGGTTGCGGTGTAGTCCGAGTCGAGGCTAGAAACAGTTAAACAGGGAACTCCACATAAGAGCCACGTCAATTTATGCACCAGAGTAGAATCCTCGCTATTTCATCGTACTTCCCACAGCTCATGCTGCTGACGGATGCCTTCACCACGCCCTTCAGCCAGACATCAGAGGAGATGTTTGCAAGAGCACCACTGGCTGCCTAAGAGAAGAAGTCAAAGGCAACATGCACCACCTGAAGAATCACCAACTTTTTAGAATGCTTGACTGCCAGGGGAGCTGCGGGCAGCATTGACAGCATCATGCGCCCACGGTTGGCGGACAATACTCGGACATTCACATGCTGTCCAGCCTCCAAAACCTCCTGCAAATCAAGGTCATCTGTCTGCAAACATGAGCCATGTCAAGATTAGGACATGTACGGAGAACAAGACAAGAGCTGTCAAAGCTTTGCAGCTTGATGCCATGCATGACCAGCACTTGCGCCAGACCCGATCCTAAAAACCCCTCGCGAATACTCAACCCCAGAGCTCTACCATGAGAGCTTCACATGCGCTGCATGTTCGGCCTGCAATGAATACGACTTGTGCTAACATCATGGCTCGCGGGCGCCGTAGATCGCTTTCAGATTCTTACTCGAAGGGCGCAATACAGTGGACACTAACACAGAACGCTAGCAAGCAGCATCCTGACTATAAGGAGCCTGTAATCAGGTACACGACATCAAACAAACAGGCATTCAGTCTTCCCCATGCTCCTCCGGCGCTCGTCCAGTCAGCTCCATGTCCTAAGAAGCCACATTACATATTCTGGTAGAGTGTAGCATGCTATAGTAAATTATGATGTGCAGCAGTACATGTTGGCATACTCTTACTGCATTACAATCAAGACAATCCTCCCCTTGCAATGCGAACTTCCTAAGCACGCTTGCATGCTGGAGACGACGCCCACCTCCAGGACGATGCAGTCTTGCAAGATTTTGAAAGTCCACAGCCCACTTGAATTTTATGAGTCACTGTGCTTGAAACCCATCGCCAAATGCAGGAAAGCTTCCGATGTCATGACAAATCCCCGGCATGCAATCCCACCGCTTGGCGGCTGCACCATCACATACGCTCCGTATGACGAGACAGCTTGCACAGATCCTGCAACGGAAGGGTTGTGATCACACGGGAATGAGAATGCCAGACTCCGGGAGCATACGGAAACTACAAACTACCACCAAGAAGCCACGGAGAATCTGAATTCTAATTCGTCGCAGAGGTCTTGCAAAAAAACAAGCCCTGATAGAACCTCTTCAGCTCCTGAAAGGAACTGGTCTCTTCCGGCGACTGCGCGGAAAGGTGTCAGGTCTGCTTCGATTTCGATGGGCTTGGCAGACACAACGAGCTTTCCTGGCGCAGAACTGGGAGCTTCCAAAGAGTAATCCGAACATATCGACAATGGGCAGCTCTACTGCTTAGAATCCTAGAAACCCTCGCACTTGGTGTGTCAGCGATAAGCGGATTTGTACACCAGAACCGAGCCTTCCTCCGTGCCGATCACACGGACCAGCAGTTCATCCCCCACCTGGATAACTCACCGCACATGGCAGAAATTAGGCATGCCTCCCCCGAAAGCCCGACTTGTGTTAGCCTTCCGTCCACCATGCATAGTCTGAGCCGAGACAAACACAGCACTCGCAGTTTGCATAGCATCCACGCCCTCTCTTTCAAGACGGGTCACCATCCCGACTAACAAAAGACGACAAAGGCTTGCAGACCGCGACAAGTCAACAAGAAAGCTCGGGAAGCTAGCAACATCAACAGCCACTCCTCGACCGGATCTACCGGAGATGCAGCCCGGCCACGCTGACAAGATCGTTCGGGTCTGCCTGGCTTGCTGAGGCAGTGCAGCTGTAAGACTCCCAAAAAGCTTCTATGCAATCCCAAAGGAAATAAAGCAGGTGGCTGAAACAAAGACGAGGATCAACGAAGAAGTCTGCCATCTCAGACACAGGCAATAGGCCAGTGACTGCTTCCGCTTTGGATGGACAAGGCACTTCGAGGAAGACACCTCAAGCACTGCTTCGATTGCATCACTTCGGTGGGATAGGGCCGTCTGGAAAGAAGAGGTATTGCACTCAACTGCATGTGATATAATTAAGCTCCACTAAGGCATCGTCCAAATGGCGCCACATGCTCCTTGGTGCTGCCGGCGACTGGGCACTTCTCATGGTTCGCATGCAATAACGGACAACCTTGAGAACGGCGCAACAAACGAGTTGTAGCTAGCCGCTAGATACTAGTTTGTGCATTGTCGATGCGAAAGAGAAACGACCGTCAAGAAACGCATGTAAAGTCTACAACTGCCTCCAGATGATCGCCGTGTTCACCGGCACGCATGCAAGCAACCATAACGAGAAAGTCGCTGCCAGGTTCAAACGACACATCTTGCTGAGGTCACACTGATTGTAGGGGGGACGCTCCTCTTGCCATGCGAGAGACAGCCCCATGCAGTACTTGAAGGTGCTCGGTTGCATAAATAGGTTTAGCGTGCCATGGCAGCTTGGCCGGCGAGGTCAAAAGGGAAGCATTTAACAAGCTCTCTTGTATGCTACAGTAGTCTCAATCTCGCAAGATTGGAAGCCCAACAATGCTGAGCGTCGACTTTCGCATCAATCCAGGTGTCGTTGCCCAAGCCTGCAAAGCCAACCAAAACTCTCGGATCAAAACCCTTTGCAGTGCCTGCGTTTGAACACCGGTTGGGCCTGCAAAGTAGCTGAGGTCCAGGGAGTCGTTGAGCGCGAGAGACAGTCGATCATCTGCACAGCAATTGCCAAGACTGCGCATTGCTGCATGAAGGCTTGAACATGGAAGCATGACTTGGCACAGCTTATCACCGTGTCCGTCTCTTCGAGTAAGGTGCACACTTTTTGTAGAGACCACCTTGACGCACACCTCTTGCCCCAGCGAAAGTACATCCTGCATGCATGATGTGTTATAATCAAACTATGCACACTGCTGGGAACCACATGTAGGCACAACATGGCCCCGGTACAGCACAGTATCTGACAGCATCGTATGTCCTCGACTCGTACGACAAAGCCTGAGGCTGGCGTATAACAAGCGGAACAACGTCTTGACCGAAATTCCTCTTCAGGAGACTACCACGACTGCACAAAAGGTTGGTCCAAGGCACGGCCCATGTTGGCTTTCGCGATGTACCTGAGAAACCGTCCATTCTTGCTCGGGCTATGGGCCAGTTCAGGGCCTCGGCCTCGATAATATGTGGGGGAGACGGTGCGCGGCTTTGTCTCTGAGGACCGCAGGTTCGCGGGCGCTTGGTGCAGCTAAGGAGCCCTGGGCAGGGAGTGCCCCCTTGTGGGAGCTGCACGGTTGCGAGGGCACCAGACGGAAGGATCCTCGTTCCGCAGAAGCGAGACCATGTCTAGAGTACAAGAAGATCGGACTCGGCGTCTCTGACGAGGCGCTGAGTGATCGTGGCATGGAGGAGCGTGCCGTCCTGAAGATCTTGGAAAGCCTCGGATTACTGCTTCTTCTGAGATGCCGCCCTCCAACGCGAACCCGGAGCACTCCTGAACCATTACATGCTTCCGATTCAAGCCCCCACAAGGTGCCAAGACGCCACAAGGTTCTCGCCTCCTTGGATTTCACCAGATGCGGGGCACATGAAGACAGCTCTTCTGAGCATTACATCACTATAAAGCAGAACAGATTATGACGCCGTGAGTCGTGCCGGCTTCATCGACAACTTGAGTGAGCCACTGCTGGAAGACAATACCCGCACGGTAACATCCTGTCCGCTGCGAACCTCGTCGGAGGCTCTGTCGACACCATCCTGCACTGAGGGCACCACGCTTTCGTTGAACATGCGTGTGCTCGACCTTAACCTAAACAACTCCCGATAACGACAGCGGTCTTACGAGAATTCGGTCCCTGATCTGTGAGATGTGCACGAAGCCTTCTTCGTCTGCGCCGATATCGACATAGCAGCCCATGGATGTCACGTCAGTTACACGTCCCTTCAGTACTTCACCCTCCTTGAGGTCCACGATCGAATGTCGAACCTTGGGTACCCTCCAGGCAGTCAGTGGATAATGATACTCGTAGCCATCTTTGTCGAAGCGCACCATGAAGCGTCCGTCTGCAGTCTCATGTTCCACCACAGCTTCATACCACATTCCGTCATCTTCACAGCGTACCTCCACGACGTCACCTCATCATGAACTCCGAGCAGGAGGACCCCAGTTAAGACTCTGTGTAACGTAATCTTGTGGCAAGCCTTCGCTAGAGGACCCCATATAAGACGCCGTGCAGAAGAGCTCCGAAGGAAGTCGGAGGGCCTCCTTCCCGTTTCGGAGAGAACGGTAGTGTCTGAATCCCTGAAACCTTAAAGCCTTAAGCCTAAAACCTAAGCCCCCACCAAAAAACTGAAGCCGAGCAACCGAGCTTGTGCGGCGGCCGGTGCCTCATCAAGCACGTCCAAGGGTAAGGAGGTGCTTTTGTATCGTCACTGCTGTTCTGGCCCTATGTTGTTCGCGCTGAGCGGCTAGAGGCGCTGGAAATGACAATACTGGAATCGTTTCGTCGGCTTGTTGTACAGACATTCAGCGAAGCACTACGCACGGGCATGGCAACGTGAGAACGAAGGCCCCTAAGCATTGCAGTTACAGCCTTCTCGGCTTCTCTCTGTAAGCACTTTTGGAGTGCCTGTCTAGGATGCATGTTGCAATTACATTCTTTTCAGGAGAGCGGGGCTCCCGTTGACAGGCTTTTCCAGGGCGGCATCGCCTTCGCCACGAGCAAACAGGCCGAGATCCATTTCGTGCAGTACCATGTCTGCAATTCCAAATACCGGCAACGAGGTGCCTGCACTTCGGCCTTCCTAACCCATGATTTCTGCACTGAGATGCTCGAATCTTCCGAACTTACTGACTACCAAAGGCTGCACACCTGTGACGCCGGACACAACATTTGCATAATCCCCGCAACCATCCCGGCGACATCGATGTATGTGTGTGTGTGTGTTCCCGACGGTGAAACCGTAGGGACGCTTGTTGTGGGAAGATTTGAAAAGATTCGGCAACTTCCGGGCACGACTTGAACACGACTTCCACGAAGGGACTTTCGACAGGTGCAAAGACTGCCGAACCCCTTTATCATTCTACATCCGAAGAGCAAGGATGCGGATGGTGACATGCCATCCTCTGCATGGGATGTCTGCAGCCTGGCACGTGTAAAAGTTCGTCCTCAGCTGTACGGAGATTCAACTGACCCCATGGCAGTATATGCTAAGGAGCTATGCAGGCGAGGAGCGTGCAGGCACAAAGCATCGAGAAGCTCTGAAGACTGCAAGAGCTATCAAGAGCTTTGTAGCCCGAAGCAGTCGCTTGTGTCGCGGAACCATCCATTCCAGGGTAGCTACATTGGATCTACTACGTCAGAGTCACACTGTTTTCGCGAGACTTGTGCCTTCACAAGAACCGCACTATCAAAGATGGCAAACTTGGCACAATACCCCGTGTGTCCATGCTTTGCTATGACGATGGAGCCTTGTCTTGAACCTGCCGTGCTGTCAAAAACACGGTCGTCAAATATCACAGTCATCAAGATCCAAGCACCGGTTGCCAAAAGCATTTGGTCACTCAGACAGAGCTGTTAATAGCTAGATAGAGATCAAGCTCGATATCTATGCCCAGTTCGCCTGCTCCACCATATCAGGTCTGCCATTGGGCGCAGGTGACGGTGAAAACCCACGACAGCAGCGCCAAGGCTACGTACCCAGAGGGGAAGAGACATTGGACTCAACTCTACGATACCCAGACCTTCCTCGCGATACTCACAACAGCTGAGCTGCATGGCAAAGACCCTTTAAGCTGTGCGAGAATGGGTAAGGATTGCTGTCCAATGCTGCGCATGTGGCATAGCAAGAGCACGTGCATCTCAGAATGCTGGCATCTAAAGTCATTCAGAAATCTGCAGCTCAATCGACCATGGGCTGTAGAAGTGCTTCGGCAGGGGGCGCACTTGACAGGGTCGAGACAATGCCGGAAGCGCCCAATGCGCTCGCAGCTCCCACCAAACACTTTGTCCTGCCAAGGGGCAGTGCTACAGTGTACATGCAGGAGCAGTGCCAAGGAAAACCGAGGGTCTCAGCAGTAATCGGGTCAGGTGCAATGCTCACGGGTCCAGATAGTCTTTCTCGCCAGCAACCTGCTCATCTCTGCCGGTGCACATACACTGACCTACACCCTAAACCCCAAAAACCCTAAACGCTCCGAAACCCGTCGAGAAGTCCGAGGCTGCAGCGGCTTTCAGCAACAAGTCACGGCTAGCTTCAGCGGTGCTGAGCAGATCACGCTCGGCCCTCGGAACGCCAAATATCCACTCGCTTCGACGACGTAACTACATGTTAAATAATATATATATATATATATACATATATCCATACATACATGCGTACATACATACACTCGTACTACATAGAGATTCATATATATATATATAGATATAGATATTATGTGTATATATATATGTATATTATATATATATATGTATATATATATATATAATATTATATATATATATATATTATATTATTATATATATATATTATTATATATATATATGATATTATATTATATTATTATATATTTATATTATATGTATTTATTTGTGTATTTAAATTCATATATACATAGACATATGTATACATATGTATATAGATTTGTTACTATAGTGGATAGGGTCATGGGTATTGTCTGCTGTGCAACCGTGGCAAGCAGCGCAATGTGCACTCCAAAGTCTAAGTCTTCCCAAGGGCCCCGACGCTACACCCTTGACCGCGGAGTTCACGGTCGCGATCTGGCCTGATAGAAAGCATGGATGTGCTAGGCATTTCTAGAGTCTAAGAGAGGTCTGAGACTCTTGCGCTCCACATTCTTCTCGAGTCTGAGGATGATCTCGTCCACCTCATAAAAGGCAACAACTAGGAACCCAACGTCTCACTTTTTGTCTTTGTCCTGTGCCAGTACTTTATAAGATCATTGAGCTTTCGGCCTCTTGAGGCGTGTAAGACATTGCCAACGGCCTTGCCAACAGCCTTGCGGCCCCATTAACCTATGAACTGCTAAAGAGCTACCTGTAGCGTTCGGCGCCAGGTCCTTACAAGCACCTCTTAGCCATGGTGCTTATGTTTGTAAGAGTTCAGTGCATCTGGATCTGTCGATCTGAAGCCGTTGGTAATAAGAAAGGAGTTGCGCATAGTTGTATAACTGAAAAGGCTGTGAGTAATGCCCCTGACCTGCTCCGATATGCTCGAGCTGCAAAGACATAAGGATGACGGCTTCGCTCTGACGCCGGCATCTGACATTGGAACTCACGACATTGGGAGCATCCTTTGATGCCGCACGCAGCGTTGCTATCTGTACATGAGCTTCGTTAACTCCCAGCAGTGCCATAGGCAGCGACTGGATGGCCAGAGTTCCGGCCACGAGTGAGAGCTTGAAAATCATGTCTTCATGAGTGCGCCACTGCGACTCGGCGGATGCCGCGGTAGTACCTCACTGAAAGAGTGTGTCATCCTATGCCATCGAAATTCAGCGATTAAGGCCTCAGCTCCTTGAAGGGACACGTCGTTGGGCTGGTAAGACTGAAATACCTCAGTAGGCCACAATACTCGAAGTCCACAATGCCGAGCAGCGCTGCTGTAGACTGTTTGTGACTTGACTTTGTCTAGTCTCAAACAAATAAAGAAACCAAACGCGCCTGTAGTAGAAAAGGAGGAACTCTTCGAAAGAGATGGCGCTGCTCCTGTCTCTGTCCGCCTCTGCCCAGAACCTCAGGCACTGCTGCTGCTGCTATCACTGCTGCTACGAGCACCACTGCCACCTACCACTACCACTACCACTACCACGACCACGACCACTACCACTACCACTCCTGCTACTGCTGCTGCTGCTACTACTACTAATAATAATAACAACGACAACTACTACTACTACTACTACTACTACTACTACTGCTACTGCTACTGCTACTACTACTACTACTACTACTACTATTACTACTTCTATTACTACTACTACTACTACTACTACTACTACTACTAGTAGCTACTAGCTACTAGCTACTAGCTACTAGCTACTAGCTACTAGCTACTAGCTACTAGCTACTAGCTACTAGCTACTA